AACACAGGCACTCATTAGTCTGCATGTATCTCTTATAAGATACAAAGTGGAAAGAGCAATCCTTCTCCCTTTTCTTAAAATAGAGCCCACCCTATATGCTATTTCACACTCTGCTTTCTTTCATTTGACAGTATATCCTGGAGATCACTCATAGCTGTATGCAGAGTTATTTTTTTATGATTTTATTTATTTATTTGAGAGAGAGAGAGAGAGAGAGTGTGTATGTGTGACCACAACAAACAGGGGAGGGACAGAGTGAGAGGGAGAAGCAGACTACCTGCTGAGCAGGAAACCTAACATGGGGGCTCTATCTGAGGACACTGGGATCATGACCTGAGCCAAAGGCAGACACTTAACTGAGCCACCCAGGTGCCCCTATATGCAAATTGAGGTGTCTAGGTGGCTCAGTTGGTTAAGCATCTGCCTTCAGCTCAGGTCGCAATCCTGGGGTCTTGGGATGGAGTCCCACAACTGGCTCCCTGCTCTATGGGCAACCTGCTTCTCCCTCTGCCTCTGCTTCTCTCTCTGTGTCTCTTATGAATAAGTAAATAAAATCTTTTTTAAAAAAAGAAAAAACAATCAGAATAAAAAACATAGGAAATAATAAGTGCTGGCGAGGATGTGGAGAAAAAGAAACCCTCGTGCGATCCTTGGTGGGAATGCAAACTGGTGCAGCCACTGTGGGAGACAGTATGGAGTTTCCTCAAAAAATAAAAAGTAAAGCCACCATATGATCCAGTAATCACACTACTGGGTATTTACCCAAGGAATATGAAAGCACTAATTTAAAAGATATTTGCACCCCTATGTTTATTGCAGCATTATTTGCAATAGCCAAAATATGGAGCAACTCAAATATCTACCCCTAGATGAATGGATAAAGAAAATGTTGTGTATATATACAATGGAATATTATTCAGCTATAAAAAAGAATGAAATCTTGCCATTTGCAACAACATGGATGAAGCTAGAGGGTATAATGCTAAGTGAAATCAGTCAGTCCGAAAAGGATAAAAACCATATGACCTCACTTACGTGGGAATTTAAGAAACAAAACAAACAAAGAAAAAAGAGACAAAAAACAACAACAAAAAAACCAGTCTTTTAAATATAGAGAACAAACTGGTGGGGAGGCAGGTGGGGAATGGGTGAAATAGATTATGGGGATTAGGAGTACACTTAATGTGATGAGCACTGGAATAGATAAGAAATGTGTAGAATTATTGAATCACTATATTACACACCTGAAACTTATATAGCACTATATGTTAATGATTCTGGAATTAAAATGAAAAAAGATGATCAGTATTACATTTTGATACATTTCATTCATCTTTCCTATCTTTCTTTTTCCTTCTCCCTCCAGAGAGCTGCACGTATGTATGTGTGTTGGGTGTGTGCGCAAAGACCTGCTTATACGTGGCTCTCTCAGTTGTACAGTCTAATTATAAAGGTAGGAGGATACTGTAACGTCCTGCTTTTTATTTATTTTATTAAAGATTTTATATATTTATTCAAGTGAGACACACACAGAGAGAGAAAGGGGGGCAGAGACACAGGCAGAGGGAGAAGCAGGCTCCATGCAGGGAGCCCGACGTGGGACTCGATCCTGGGTCTCCAGGATCACACCCTGGGTTGAAGGCGATGCTAAACCGCTGAGCCACCCGGGCTGTCCAACTTTCTGCTTTTTAAAGTATTTTTAAATGGCCACTAAATGTTTTTCAAAAACATTCACTATTAGAATGGATGCATATTCTGTTACAGGAAAGTCTCCTAATGTTACTACCATTTAATTTTTTTAATTTTTTTTATTTTTTTATTGGTGTTCAATTTGCCAACATATAGAATAACACCCAGTGCTCATCCCATCAAGTGCCCCCCTCAGTGCCCGTCACCCAGTCACCCCCACCCCCCGCCCACCTCCCTTTCTACCACCCCTTGTTCGTTTCCCAGAATTAGGAGTCTCTCATGTTCTGTCTCCCATTCTACTACCATTTTAATTTTAAAAATTCTTTTAAAATTGAGCCTTATGCTCACCATGGGGCTTGAAGTCACAACCCTGAGGTCAAGAGTTGCATGTTCTACCGACTAAGTCAGCCAGGCACCCCGAACTACCATTTTATTGTTGGAAAGTTAGGTTGTTTCTGGGTTTTTCCTCTTTATTAGTGATTAACATCGTGTATATGTCTTGTCTGAGCGTTTTATTTCCTTAGAGCTATTCCCCAGGAATAGCTAGGTCCAAGGGTGTGCTGGTCTGTCTGAGGATTCACAGTTCTGGTTTTTGCTGGAGAAGGCACCCAGATTCAGATGCTCCTCTATATGTGTAGAGTTATTTGCCTTCTACTCATAGAAGATTCCCACTGCTGTCACACAGCAGAAGAAATCATTACTTACCAAGCACCTGTAGCAACGCTTTGTCAACAGACCATGATGAAACCTGAAGATGTGGGTTAGACTGAGGACAGCACTAGGGCCCGGTTCATTGGTATGCCTAACTCTGCCTTTGGAAGTGAACTGATTTCTGACTCCATCCCATTCTGTTATATCCCTTCATCCTTCAACACATCCAACAGAGGCACCTTTGTATTTAATCAACTGAGTCACCCAGGCACCCTGACATTGGTATCTTTGATGATGGTCCCAATGCCTCAGTTAGTTATCTGACATATTGAGGACAGATTATTCTGTGTAAATGACACTTGCAGATGATGGAGGCTAGCCAGTTAGAGTGGTGGGGTTTGGGTACAAATATTCTAATACCAAGAACAGATTTTTTTTCTGACTTCTTAATGGACCTTTCATGACAGGTTGGGTTTTCCTCTGTGCATATGGATTGGGAAATTCTTTGGGAGCAAAAGTAAAAGCATTTCTCCTGGGTTTACATGGGTTATTGTATCCCATGTTGCTCGTGGGAGACTCTTAGAAGAAGGAAAATGCTTTACACTCTATGTCTTGGAGAGTCTGAAACCCATACACCCTTGAGTGGGCAAGCCTCAGTTGAATACCTACTCTGTGTCAGGCAGGTCCATGATGGGTATTCAAGAGGAGACATCTAGGAATTGTCTTGAGGAGCTCAGTCCAGGTTGGGGGTGGATGGGGTGGGAAACAGTGAACTTAGAGTGGGACAACTTGATGGCCCCATGCCTCAGCTTTCATAGAAAGCAGAGACTGAACACCATGCCCAAAGGCATTGGAATCTGGGCTCTCCTTATTCTTGGTTCTTAGCCTCTTGGATCCTCCTTTCTTCATGTGAATTGGGGACATCTGGGGTCTGAGGTTGTGATGAGATCACAAGACTGGTGCCCTTAGCACACACTATAGCTGGTGGTAAGCCATGACACCTTTGTTACTTACTATTATTTCTATTTGAGCTTTGCTGTGGAGATGGGAAGGGTAGAAATTGCTGACTAATTGGGTGGGGCTAGCACCAAGGACCATGACATTGACATGACATTGACAAAGGACATTGGACATTGGACATAGGACATTGGACATTGACAAAGGACATTGATAAAGGAGTGTCAAGTGCAGGAGAGTCACCTCTTTTCCACAGGGAGGTCCTGCAGTGGTGTAGCCCCTGCCTCAGTGGGACCCTCACAGCCTTATGGCCGGGGAGCAGATGAGATACCTGAGTCGAGAAGGGGATGGGGTGTGGGCTTTGCTGGGTCACCTCTACAGCCTCCTACCACACCCCCCTCCACAGGTCCTTCACCATTCTAGCTCTGTCTTGAGTCTCAGTTTCCCTAATATGGTGGTGTGGTGGTGAGGGTGGGAGTGGTTCCAGAGGGTTGATTTCCAGGGGTGTCAGGAACCTCAAGCTTCCTGCATTTAAAATGTTTAACGGGTGGGCAGTCTGGGTGGCTCAGCCGTTTAGCGCCGCCTTTGGGCCCGGGTGTGATCCCGGAGACCCAGGATCGAGTCCCACATCCAGCTCCCTGCTTGGAGCCTGCTTCTCCCTCTGCCTGTGTCTCTCTCTCTCTCTCTCTCTCTCTCTCTCTCTCTCTCCCTCTCTGTCTCATGAATGGATAAATGGAATCTTAAAAAATAAAATAAAATAAAATGTTTAAGGGGCACCTAGCTGGCTCAGGTGGTAGAGTGAGAGACTCTTGGAACCTGGGGTTGTGGGTTCCAGCCCTATATCGGGTGTAGAAATTACTTAATAAAATAAGATCTTTTTTTAAAGATTTACTTATTTTTTATTCATGATAGACATAGAGACAGAGAGAGAGAGAGAGAGGCAGAGACACAGGCAGAGGGAGAAGCAGGCTCCATGCACCGGGAGCCCTACGCGAGACTCGATCCCAGGACTCCAGGATCGCGCCCCGGGCCAAAGGCAGGCGCTGAACCGCTGAGCCACCCAGGGATCCCCCAAATAAGATCTTTCAAAAAAAGAAAATATTTCTTTCATTCATTCATTCGTTCATTCAACGCAGGGAGAGAGGCAGAGACACAGGCAGAGGGAGAAGCAGGCTCCATGCGGGGAGCCCGAGGCGGGGCTCCATCCCAGGACCCCGGGATCACGACCTGAGCCAAAGGCAGACACTCAACCACTGAGCCCCCTTAAAATAAAATAAAACCTTAAAAAAAAAAAAAAGAACTGAACTAAACCGTGTAAGATCAGTTCCGTCCGCCCTCCCCGCCCCGTCTCGCCTTCCTCTCGGGCATCCGGGTGAGCGCGGGGAGGGCCCGCAGGTGATACCCCCCGCAGAGCGCCTGTGCTGCACGCTCCCCGTCAGCCCCCCCGCCCCCCAGCAGCTCTCCCGGTTCCCCGGAGCCGCGCCTCCGTCCGCGCCCGCGCGCCCACTGCGCCCTGGGCGCGGCGTTGGAGGTCCGGGAGCGCTCGCCCCGCCCGCAGGCCGGGCCCGGGGCGGGGGCGGGGGGCAGGGGCGGGGCGGGGCGGGGCGGGGCGGCGGGCAGGGGGCGCGGGCCCGAGCGCGGCGGCCGGCAGAGGGCCCGCACCTGCCGCCGTCGGGTGGGTCCGCTGTGCGCGGCCGTCCGCAATGCCGCCGCCGCCGCTGCTGCTGCTGCTCCTGGCACACGCGCTCGCGCCCAGCGCCGGTGAGTGAGCGGGGACAGGCGCCCCGGAAGAACCGGGGTACCCCCTGCAACCCTTCCAACTCATCAGCCTCCCCCCGCCTCCCCCGACCCCACCGCCGGGGCGCGCGAGCTCCTCAGCACCCCTGCGCGCTCCTGCCAGGTTTCCGGGATCCCTGTCCCCCAGCCCTGCCCCAGGGGCACCCTCCAGGCGCCTGGCCTGGGGGCTGTGAACTGACCCTTCCCCCTACCTGTCTCTGGGGTCTGAGGTCCCCCCCTGCCGGGGGGAGGGGGACACCTAGGAGAGGCAGGGGAAGAGCAGAAGGTGGCTTTCTCACCTGCCTCCCGTCATCACCCTTGAAGAGGTCCCCTCAATACCTGCCTTCCCCCCCTACTGGGGGGGGCGTACAGAAACACCACAAGCAGGGAGATGCTGGGGTGCACAACACCTTAGGCCTCACCGGGGCTCTCAGGTGTAGGATTCGTGGACAGGTTCATGCACGGACACAGGCAGGGGTGCCTGGGAGGGAACACGGCAGTGCACACCCCCCACCCCCACGCAGAGCTCAGGCATACCAGACAGCCCAATGTGGACACACACACACACACACACACACACACACACACACACACTCAGGCCCACGGCACGCCTGGACAGCCTTAGGCACTCCCAAGCAGAGGGTGTTGTGGGCAGACAGAGCAAACAGACCCCAGAATGACCTGCCTCACCTAAGTTGGCACGAGGGAGTGTTTTCCTTGGTTCCAAACTCGGTGCTGGACATCTGCCCCAAGCCGTGGTCCTCTGTAGGGGGGTGTGCGCAGGACCCTGACGTTGCCACACTGTGGTCAGGTTCAGGTGGGGGTCCTCCGGGGACAGCTTTGGGGTAGGGGGTGAGGACTGGGGCCCCCTCAGGTATGCTCAGTCTGGGAGTGTGCCTCGGGGCTCTGTGGATCCGGAGCTCAGGGGACCTTCTCTGGAAGCCCACTGTGTGCCGGGGATTCTGGAGCTGTCTACAGCAGAGATCTGCCCTCAAAGAGCTCCCAGCCTGGAGGGTCACTCGCATAAACAGCAGCACAGTGTGATAAGGACCCTTGTGGTCCCCTGCCGGCCAGGTGGATTAGAGAAGGTGACAGGTGAGCAGGGAGTGAGGGCATCTGCAGCGCAGAGAGGATGTGATCCGAAGTTCAACTGGGGGAGAGGTTAATGATGAGCAGGGTCTGCATGGGGGTGTTGAGAGAGGACATGGGGGGGGGGACCCAGCTCTTGCAGGGCCTCTGGGCTGCAGCGAGGCCCCGGAGCCTCTGGAGGGTGGTGGGAGCCATGGGAGGTTTTGGGCAGACACGTGGGCAGCTGGGAGCAGCACCTGGTCAGTTCTGCAAGAGCGAGGACTTGTCACCGGGGGAGGGGGGTGGGCAAAGTTTTAATTAAACTTGTTTCTGTTTTTTTTTTTTATTTAACTCATCTCTATTTTTCCTCTGCCCCCACAAATAGGGTACTTTTTCCACCGAGAAAAAAACAAATAAAAAAAAAAAAACACAATGGGTTTAATTTGGGCCTGACTCTTCAAAAAAAGTCAAGGTGATGGAAACCCATTTTTAGATGAAAAGAGATGAGACCTTGATGTGCAGATGCGATGCACAGCCCTGACCTGGCTCTCAGTCCCGGAGCGGACACCCAGGAATCAGGCAGGCCCTGGTGTGAGTTTCCCCTCTGGGCCTCCCCAGCCCTGTGCATCTGTGGCCTCAGTCTCTCCATCTGTCAGTGGGAGGACAGCTACCTGCAAGACAAGGTGGCTGTGCTATTGACAATAGGAGGTGCCTGTCAGGGAGCGCGGTGGTTGGTATGAGGTGAGGTTCAAGCACTTGCCCTCTTTCCTGGTGCTCTGTTTTTTTTTTTTTTTTAACCAATGCCAGAGAGCAGACTCATTGCCTTCACTGGACAGAGGAGTTGCTTTGGGATTATTGGATGCCCAGGTCACGACAGAGGGTTTGGAGGCCCCTGGTGCCCGGCAGGGGCCACATTGGCGCCTCTCAGCTGTGTCACCCCGGCAGGCCTCCTGCCCTTGGCGTTATTGGGTGAAGGGGAAGGCGCGCTGATTTGGAGGTGGAAGCCTGGGTCAGAGCCCCCCAGTCAGATCAGGTGCCTGTGGGCTGTGGGACCGTAGGGGTCATTCCTTCCTGCCCTGGTCTCCTCTTTCTCACTGTGAGACGCAGGGTTCCAGTCATACCTCCTATGCGTTGCTGAGTGTCAGAGCTGCTTGGGGATCGAGACAAATGGCTGGGCTCAGGCCACGGGGTCTCCCTGCGGGAAGAATCCATGCGTGGGCAGTGAAAATAGAGAAGACACAAAAGGCACTGATCCAGAGTCTGGAGAGGAGTGGTAGGGGCAGAGGGAGACCCAGGGACAGAAAGCCCCTGCAGAGGAGCCCTCCTTGGTGGCAGGGACCCTGTTTAGCTCATCTCTGACACCCAATGCCCAGCACCGGCAACTGGGCAGACGTTTGACGTGGGACCAGCAATCTGATTTCATCTGGAGTAGATGAGGGCAGGAGATTGGAAATCAGAGCATTCCTGTGCAAAGGCCCAGGGGTGTGACCTTTCAGATGCTGTGGCTCCGTGACTTGTTTTCTCTCTCGTGGCCGCCTTGAAGACATTAGAGGTTGTTAGAGCTTGTTATGTGCCTGCTGCTTTACATGCATGATGTCCTTTCATTTGATAAAATGAGGTTCCCTTTATCTCCCTGTTTTATAAACAAGGAAACCAAGGCATAGAGAGGTTGAGTAAGTTGTCTAAGGTCACACAGCCAGGAAGTAGGAGAAGCAGGATTCAAACCCAGCATCATCCAAGCCCTTTTTAGACTGTGCCCTTAACCCCAAACCCTGCCCTGCAACCTCTGGTTTCTGTTTTCCTCTAGCTTCCCCGAGGTCACATGTGCATCGGCGTGGGCTTATAGAACTGGCAGGGACCATGAACTGTGTTGGTACCCGCAGCCCCCTGTCCTACATAAGCTATGGCTGCTACTGTGGCCTGGGTGGCCATGGCCAGCCCCGGGATGCCATCGACTGGTGAGTGCACACCTGGGCTCAGCTTTAAAAGGTCTGAGGACCTATATAAGGTCTAAGGATCTTTAGTTAAGGCCTATGTAAGGAAATACCCACAAGCGAGCTTTCTATTTAGGAAAATGCCAGCACGTGGTACAACCTTACAGGCAGAGGGCTTCCTGGGTACCGCCAATGGGGACAGACCCTGGTGCCAGCTGCACCCCAGTCGGGCCATTGGATGAATTACTTTGCCTGAAAAAGTAGCGTAAAGTTGATCAGACTTACTATGCACCAGGAACTGTTCTGAGAACCCCTCTTAGTCCTCACAACAACCCCGTTTCAGAGATGAGGACACTGAGGCCAGAGAGATAAGTAATTTGTCTGGGGCCACCGAGGGAGTAAAGGGTGGGGGCTGGGATCCGAACCTGGGCAGCCTGGCTGGCTGGATTCCCCTAATCCCTACGCTCCGCTGCCAGGTGAGAAGTGCCTGCTGTGGGTTTGGGTCTTTCTGGGACTTCCTTTCATTTATCTGTAGGGGCAGGCATGAGGGCTGTCCCCTGAGGCTCAAGGACACTCACTGCCACACAGCCAGGGGTAGGTGGCTGAGGGCAGAATGCTATAGGCTCTTCCCTGGCTCGGAGGACCTGGTCGTCACAGACAGGTCTTTGCTGGGTCTCGTGTTTCCAAGGCTCCTGCTCCCATGCGTCATAGTCCGCTTCCTCCCCGTCCTCCCAGATGAGGCTCAGGCACCGCCCCCTCCGGGAAGGCTGCCCTGAAGCCCGGCTGTGCCCCGCCTCTGGCTCCTGGAAGCCCCCTCTCCTCCGTCCCAGCACTTCTCGCCATGCATGTGGTGTCCGATGGCTTGTCTGCCTCCCCACTAGACTGGGGGCTCCTTGAGGGCAGAGTGGAATCGGGCTGACCTCATCTCTGAAACTGTCCTGTCCCCACAGAGCTCTGGCCAGTGAGGACAGGTGCTCATCAGTCTGTCCCTGAAATGGGTCTCGTTATAAACCTGCCCCCTAGTTTTATGAGAGGGTGTAACCAGGAGACCAGACTGGGGACATCGGGAGCTGGGTGACATCTTGGGACAGAGGCTGGTTCTTGGGCTGAGACCAGGGGAGGGAGGGTGGGCAGGAAGCTGTCCCCGGGCAGAGGCAGGAGGCACGCAGGGCTCAGCTCACTCCAGGCCCAGAGAGGCGGCAGGTGCAGCTGCAGCTCAGAGACACAGAGGAGGCAGGTGGCGGGGGTGGGGGTGGGTGGGGGGAGGAGTGGGGGGCCAGGGGACTGGGCCCAGCAGCACACACTGGGGCTCCGCAAAATGATTTCCCAGGGTGGGGATTCTCGGGGACAAAGCTTGGACCAGAGGAGGCTGGCTCCCTGCGTGTCCTCACTTGCCCATAGTCCCAGCGCAGGAGGATGGCCACGAGGGCATCCCCGCCTGCACCCACTTGCTGGTCCACCTGTCTGCCACCCGCAGGTGCTGTCATCAGCACGACTGCTGCTACATGCGTGCCGAGCAGGCTGGCTGCAGACCCAAGATGGAGCGCTACCCCTGGCAGTGTGTCAACCAGAGCATCGTGTGTGGTGAGTCCCCAGCAGCGCCCACACCTACGTCCCTGGGCGGCCTGGGCATCCTGGCCTCAGGAACTCACCACTGCTCCCAATGCCCCAGAGGCCACCCCCTGGGGTTATCTACAAGAAGTGATCTGTAACACCTGGCACGTACAGAAAGGGATGGAGAAACCTATTTCTTTGGTCTGGACAAAAGCTAAAAAAGATCGAAGTGACACCAGGTGTAAATGACCTCAGTGTCCATCAGGTGGGGCGTGGGTAGAGAAACCTGTGATGTCTTCTTATTATGGATGACTCTGCAGCCTGCTGAGATGGATAAGATAGATCCTCGTGCTGGCCCAAGAAGGTGTTGAATGGAAAAGCAAGCTGCAGAATGACATGTCTGGTAAAGCACATTTCTAGAAGGAAAGAAGGAAAGAAAGGAAAGAAAGAAAGAAAAAGAAAGAAAAAAGAAAGAAAAAGAAAGGGAGGAAAGAAGAAGGAAGGAAGGAAGGAGGAGAGAAGCTTGCAACACAGTAGCCTGCTTACTTTCCATGGCTACGTGTAGACACTTGCAAAGCTCAGAAAAAGGTATATAGAGATACGTGGCATGCTGTGGGTAGATGTGGTCATCACTAGGGACAGGATCAGGCTGAGGGCAGTGTGGTGGAAGGCAAGTTCACATTCCTATAATGTTTCCCTCCTTTTAAAGATTTCTTTTTAAAAAATCTGGATTAAAAAAATCAATTTTGGGGATTGCCTGGGGGCTCAGTGGTTGAGTGTCAGCCTTGGAGCCAGGGCATGATCCTGGAGTCCCAGGATCGAGTCCCGCATTGGGCTCCCTGCATGGAGCCTGCTTCTCCCTCTGCCTGTGTCTCTGCCTCTCTCTGTGTCTCTCATGAATAAGTAAATAAATTCACTTAAAAAGATTTTTCCTATTTATCTATCTGCCTACCCATTTATCTTGTCTTTACTCGCAAGCAGCATGTATTTAAGGAGGATAATTGTAACAGAATCCATCCTAACTTCACTGTACGTTTTACAACTAGCCGCTTCTGCAGTTAGAAGAAAAATAAAACAGCAGTTAAAAATGTTAAGTGTCCCTCAAAGCAACCTTACTGGTTTTCTCTTAAAGCAGTAAGAAATGGACTGAGGCATTTATTTTTAGGATTACCTTTTGATGGATGGTATTTTCCATGTATTTGAGTTCCTTTCAAATTAAAAAGCTGGATGTATTTTAAACATAGGAAGTAGGGGACCCTGGGTGGCTCAGTCAGTTGGGTGTCCAACTCTTGATTTTGGTCGTGATCTCGGGGTTGTGGGATCGAGCCCCGTGTAGGGCTTTGCTGTGCTGGGATTCTCTCCCTCCATCTCTCTCTCTGCCCCTACCCCCCTCACATGCATGCACCCTCTCTCTCTCTCAAAAAAAAGGAAGTAATGGGGCACTGGCTGGCTCACTTGGTGCAGCATGTGACGCTTGATCTGGGGTTATGAGTCTGAGCCCCATATTGGGTGTAGAGGTTACTTAAAAATAAAATCTTAAAAAAATAAATAAAAATAGTAACTAATAGTACACGTACAACGTAGGTAAGGCTGCTGACCCAGAAACTGGTTCTGTACCATTTACTCCTTCTTATTTTTAATTGAGATAAACATAACAAAATATTAAACATTGATAGCATAAATTTCAGTGATATTTAATACATTTATAGTGTCCTCCACCCACCACCTCTGTCTAGCTCCAAAAGATTTTCCTCCAACCCTACCCTTTTCCTCAAAATAAACCCCACTAGGCAGTCAGTTCCTATTTCCCCTGCCGCTGGCACCTGGCAACCACCAATTTGCTTTCCATCTCTATGGCTATATTGATTCTAATTTTATATATATAGATAGATAGATTAGAATTAGACTAGAATCTATTATATTAATATTATATAATATATAATATTAATATATATTATATAATATTATATAATAATATTACATATATTATTAATATTATATAATATATAAAAATATTATATAATAAATATTATATATTAATATAATATCTAATCTAATATCTAATATATAATAGATTCTATTCTAATTCTAATATTCTAATCTATCTATATATACATAAAATTAGAATTTTATGTATATATATGCTGCGCCAAGTGAGCCAGCCAGTGCCCCATTACTTCCTTTTTTTTTGAGAGAAAGAGAGGGTGCATGCATGTGAGGGGGGTAGGGGCAGAGAGAGATGGAGGGAGAGAATCCCGGCAGAGCACAGCGTTATATATATACCATATATAATGGTATATAATTATATATAATATATAATACTATATAACAGACATATATATCTATTAGAATCTATTATATATAATTAGAATATATAGAAAATATAATTATAGATAACACGTTATATATAGATTTATATATACATATACAGAAAATATAATTATATATAACATGTAACTATATGGTAATATATTAATCAATATGCTAAATATATGAATATGTATACAATTAGAATCCATAAATCTATTGATATAATATACATTATGTATATAATTTCATATAAATGAAATCATATCATCCGTGGCTTTGGTGTTTGTCTTCTTTCACTTACCGTTATATTTTTAAGGTTCATTTCATATTGTGGCACGTAGCTGAACTTCATTCCTTTTTATGGCTGAGTAACATTCCGTCCGTAGGGACAGACCACATTCTGTTTATCCATTCATCTGTTGGTGGACACTGGGTTCTTTGCACCTTCTGAGTACTGCGAATAGTGCTGCTCTGAACATTCATGAACAAGTATTTGTTTGAGTGCCCGTTTTCATTTCTTTGGGGTCTATCACTATGAATGGAATTGCAGGGTCATCTGGCAATTCTCTGTTTTACTTTTTGAGGAACCGCCAAACTTTTCTACGGAAGCTGCACTCCTTTGTATTGTCATTGGCCGTGTATGAAGGACCCAGCTTCTCCACAACCATGTCAATGCTTATTATCTTCTCATTTGTTCTGTTTTTAGTGGGGGTGCTCAGTGTATCTCGTGGTTTTGGTTTGCTTTTCTGTAATGACTAATGACATTGAGCGTCTTTTCATGTGCTTGTTGGCCATTCTTATGTTTTCTTTGGAGAAATGTCTATTCAAGTCTTTTGCTCATTTTTATTTTGTTTATTTATTTTTAAAGTTTTTATTTTTAAGTAATCTCTACACTCAACATTGGGCTTGAACTCACAACCCTGAGACTGAGAGTCACACACTGAGCCCACCAGGTGCCTCTTTGCTCATTTTTTATTGGGTTGTCTCTTTGTTATTGAGTTATAAGAGTTCTTTATATATTCTGGATCCTGGACCCTTATCAGATATGTGATTTTCAAACATTTTCTTCCACTCTGTAGGTTGTTTTTGCATTTTATTGATAACATATTGGATGCATAAAAGTCTTAATTTTGAAAAAAGTCCAGATTATCTATTTTGTTTTTTATTGAGTTTTTGTTGTCCTCTAAGAATCCACTACCAGATCCTACGTCACAAAGATTTACCCCTTTTTTTCTAATAGCTTTATAATTTGAACTCTTACGTTTAGGTCATTGATCCACTCTGAGTTAATGTTTGTATACGTGTGAGGTAGGGATCCACCTTCCTTCTTTTGCATGTGTATATCCAGTTCTTCTGGCACCATTTATTTAAGAGACTCACTTTGCCCCACTGAGTAGTCTTGGTACCCTTGTTGGTCTTGGTACCCATCACTTGGCCCTAGATGAATGACCTCCCTGTGCCTTAGTTTCCTTATCTGGAAGATGGGTGTTGCCAAGGTGAAAAAAAGGGTCTATAATACAATAAACAGGTTGGACAGGGGCTGTTTCTCTTTCCCTTTCCTTCTCCAGCTGTCCGCTTGATCTGAACTTCTCTCTGGCCCCTGTTACCTCCATTAGAGAGAATGGTGAAATCTGGGATGACTCTCCATTAAACTCTCAGCTCCTGAGCTGCAGGGAAGGAAGGGGTTACCAGAAGGATGGTCTTAAAAATATTCATGGACTCTCAGCTGTATCTCCTTAGCATCAAGTAACAGTTGGTATAAGAGCAAAGCAGAATTTTTAGGACTGAAAGTGTCCCAGACTTGGTCTCGTCCAGCCCTCTTATTTAGAGTTGAGGAAACTGAATGAAGTTCAGGGAGAGGAGTGGGCCTGCTTAATGTGGTGGCCATGTGCCCACTCCTGGGCACATCCCCTGTCCCCAGACTGCCCCCTCTGAGAGTGGGAGAGAGGAGGTGAAACGGGCCTTCACTGGGAAATCTCTCACAGTTCTCTCCCATTTCCCTTCGACCTGCATGTTCTGCTTGCCGTTATGTATGTTAAAGTGATGTCTGTAAAATATTTATTGGTGTGTCTACTGGTGGAGCCCATGCCTGTTTATAGAGCTGCCCTCCCTGAACCAAATGAAAAGAACCAAAATACCTATTCTGCATTTGTTTTTGGCTAAAAATATTCTCTTATTCTGTTTGGAGATACTCCGAACATAGCCGTTTACCTAATTACAGGTGTTGCCCATTTTCCATTTATGGGCTTGACTTAAATATATTAAAATTTGTTTTTAAGCCTATAATAATATTTACTGGCAGACCTTTATTTTAAGCTTAATCCTTGGGGGCTGTTTTTCCTTTTAAGTTTTGGTTATTCTTGACTAACATGATGCTGTCGTGTTCTTGAGGCCATGGAGCAGTCAGACTAAGTTTTGCTTTTCAAAGAAACTTTCTGGGGATCCCTGGGTGGCGCAGCGGTTTGGCGCCTGCCTTTGGCCCGGGGCGCGATCCTGGGGACCTGGGATCGAATCCCACGTCGGGCTCCCGGTGCATGGAGCCTGCTTCTCCCTCTGCCTGTGTCTCTGCCTCTCTGTCTCTCTCTGTGTGACTATCATGAATAAATAAATAAAATCTTTAAAAAAAAAAAAAAAAGAAAGAAACTTTCTGGGGCGCCTGGGTGGCTCAGTTGGTTAAGCATCTGACTCTTGATTTCGGTTCAGGTCATGACCTCAGGGTC